CTTTTTCACCATTAGGTGAAAATCTTGCATGGGTATCACATAATTCAATTATATTTGCTGTTTCAGCAAAAAATTTATCTCGGTTAGTTTTTATTTTAAGTTTCAAAAAACAAAATTTGTAAGATGAATTTTTTTTGTTTTTAGAATAACAATGGAAATTACTAATTATCTACCATTTCGTTGCATTATTTTTGTTAGTGAATCAACGTTAATTGTTGCAGTATGACTTAGAAACCCCCTACCCTCCTCAAAAAAAAAGATTGCTTATTTTTATTTTTAGGGTCATGAATTTTCTCCATTAATTTATAATTATGATGAACGAAAAGGTACAATTGATTTTGTGGAAAAACTTGATCAACAAGAAACATCAATTGGAAAACAAGCTATTAAGTTAGTATTTTATATTTAATATTTTCTTTTCTTATTTATTAATTTTTATATACAGAGAAGAAAGTGAATTTATTACGCCATCTCAGGCAGCGTATGAAGAATAAAAGAGTGTGTTTGCAGTGGTCGTTTTTTTTTGTTGCATGACTATTACAGATTTGCATTTTGGTTTTTTTTTGCTAAATTTTCCATTTCGTGTGTTATGCATCCATTTATATATATGATTAGTTGTGGAGCTAGATGAGAATGCAGCCATCTCTCTTCCGATAAAGGAACATTTTTAACTGTTCGATCGGCCATGATAAATTGTAAAAAGATTTGTTACGTTCAATTGTGAACATTTTATTCAGTTTTTTGCTCTATGAGCATAAGATTGATTGAGAGTCTCGATGATCGAATTTCAAGCATAGATACATCTTATAGTTAAAACATCGCATCCTTTTTCTAAGACGCACGCATAAAATGTAAATATAGATATTGAGTAAAGAGTGGTCATAAAAGAGCTGTCTCAAGCATCATTCAACTAGAGTTATAACTGTTTTACTAGATTTTTGACCTTTGAGATAAGTATGTATGGAAAACTCAATTAGAACATTTTCAATCTGACATGGAGATACCCAATGACTAAAAGGATATTCTAGTAGTGGTAAGATCTATGTATGGGAAAAAATTTCGTAATTGAGCTTTTCATGTGTTGGTGACGTCGATACCCAGTATTTACTAAATTGGTCATAACTCTTACTGAATGACGGATTGGTATGAATTCGTTTAGAATTTTCTTAATTACACTGAGACTCGTGCACAGCTAAAATATAGGATCGAACGGCGTTCGACAATATAATATGTTCCCTTTTCAGATATTCGAATTTTAAAGTACTTACAATATATGCGCATTGAATTAGTCCTAAATTAAATATTTACGGAATCAAAATCACAAACAAAAGAAATTGTTGAGGCCGGTATCTGAGAGTTGATCTTGCTAAAATTTTGAATTCTTAGCATATAGTATCTACAATAAATACTTTAATATGTGAATATCTGCATGTCATCAGCACTTTATATTTAATGTAATACTAATATATTCAATGTCCTTGAATTACTATACATATTAATTCTTATAAAAAACATTAATCTAACTTTCGAAAGACTGATTATACAAATAGTTTGCTGATGTATACAGAAGTTTTTTTTTTTTTCTGTTGGAAAATATGACCTTGATATAAAATTTTTATTGTATGCATTTCATTTTATTTTTATTAGTCGTCTTTTTGATCAACCATCAATGCAAACTCAAACACCCGAGCCTATATCGACTCATCAAAGCATGATAACGTAAGATAGTCTTCTATTCTCAATCGACTTGTATTTTTGCAAAAAGAAATTTTTTTTTAATTAGACAAATTGTACCTTATCAATCTGATCATTCGAATCTAGTTAAAATAAGTTCAGCTGATTTATTTGGTCAAGTTGTTATTTGGAATTTAGCTGGAAGAGTAAGTTTGTCTATTCTTATAATTCAATATATATTATTGTTTATATTTTCTAGAAAATAAAAAAATGAATGATATTTAAATTAACGTTGATAAAATAGAACTCTTCTTTTTTTTTTT